CTACAATATCTCTAGTACCACGACCCCTTCTAAACCCAGCCTAGACTTCTGGTAGTTCTCTGTTGATGTGCTGTTCCAGTCGTTTTTCTTAAAGACAAGGATGGTGAGTCTTCACTAAATTTGGGCATGTTAATGTACTCAGTGGGGGTCAGTCTTTTAAAAAATGATACCTCATTTGAAAAAGTGGAGGTTCAATGAAAGAGAGAAAGACTCTTAAAGAGATGGTTTAGCACCATGTCTACAACAATGGTTTTATGCAAAGCCAAGTTTGTAATAATGGCACAGGATTGAGCAGGATTTCATTCCTTTGTGAAAGAGTTACTGTAAGTTGAAACCATAATTTGAAACCAACTTGATGGCCTCTAACAGCAAACACATGCAATTGTTTTGTTTTCAAAGCCAAATAATTTTGTGATTGAAAATGTGAAAAGTGCTTAATAAGGATAAGCCTGGAGGCTTGGGATTGGATATGCCAACCCAGGCTTACTAACATTTCAGACAATGATGGAGAGCTAACCATACTTTGAAATCAGATCCTTTGCTAATTTCTAGCAAAATTATTTTACAAGGAATCCCAGCCAGTGTTCTTTGGGCCTGCATTGATGCACTTTCAGAACCTGTGGTCAGCATTCAGACACACATGCACAAGAAAATACAAGTGCTAGTGTATGAGAAACAACATGACTTATAGGCAAGAATGTGGATGTGAACACTAACATTAAGTAACTGTTGTTTCAAACCTGGTCCTCCTTTTTGCTCTGCTACTCAGATACTTAGCTTTTTTGTCTTTAAAATGGAATACTACATCAAATGTAAATAAATCATGTATCATAGACCACAAATCATCTCAGAAAACAGAGAAGCAAATTCTCAACTTTTTTATGGTATATAGAGAAAAACAATTTGTTTCTGGTGATCTGGTCTGCAAATGCTGCCTGTAGTCGGCAAATACTGCTCAGCCCATGAGCTGTCTTCCCAGTGACCCAGACACTCTGAATTAGGTTTTATGCTGGAATATTTCACATGGTTATTGAACTACTAGGGAAGTCTGTTTGTTTAAATATTCTTACACAACATGCTAAGTTATATTAGAGGTTTAGAATTTACAATATTGCCTAGCCTGAACAGTTTATGCATTTGACAAAGAACTTTTGGGCCTAACAGATTACCCAGAACCCATTGTTCTTCTAATGACATTTAGAAAAAATATTAGAAGTAATTATTCTTGAGCAAGAAAGCTATATGGAAGAGTTTCAAAATGCTTACTATACCTATATATAATATTTATACTCTTTCCCATTGATTTCAAGATTTCTGACGAAAGAAATTAATTTTTTCCTGAGAAAATGTATATAAGTATATGCAATAAGTATACAAATTCAAGGATTTGAGCATACCATCTTTCGGT